GTAACAAAATGTGGAGATACCTGCCTGATTTTCCAAATGCTTGGGCTTCTCATCAGCCCTCTGGGAAGAATAAGGAAGCAAAGCAGAAAGCTGAATGTCTAATTAAACCGATAGAAGGTACGTAGTCAGCTCTGCAGAGACCCTTTGAGACACAAAAGCAAGGGAAGAGGTGCTCAATGCCTTTACAGGCCTGCATTTTATCTTTGCTTCGTAACCTCAAAAACATGGAAGCACTTTTTGCTGTGTAGATCTGTAAATCTGATAATGTTTTATTTCACAACAAAAATGGAGGCATGGTAGAGATAGACTTGAGGAGTGACTTCATGCTTAGCACAGCTTGTTATTTTAAATGTCAATCTCCCGGGGGAGGTTCCCATGCCAAGAGTTGTCTTCAGAGGTTAGACGCTGAGAAAGTGGGTGAACACACACCCAACTTGTAACTCAGTCACCCTTCTACCTTCATAAAGCAGAACAAAAAGCTTACAAAACCACACTAATAAGTAGGGCACATAGCTGGGAAACAGCAAGAAGGACATTTTATTTAAACCTGGATAAAAGAAAACAAACAGTCACAAAAGAGTTTCTGGGCTTCTCTGCAGCACACCACACCTAGGAGACTAAACAGGAATATAATCATCTATATGTATTTATTCAAGGCAGGGATCTGACCTTCCCAGGTTCATTTGTTTCAGTAAACTTTGCTCATATTCATAAGACTTGCAAGACTGGAACATCAAATAATTGCTGATAATATAAAAAAGTGTGATAGGAGGGACAACAGTGTTTCTTATTATGTGATTATCTTGTTTTTCTTTGAGACTCTGAGAAATCACTTCAAGTACTTTGATTATTTTCCTGACAAATGTACATTTTTCAATTGGTCATTGCACTTCCTCAGATATGAAGCTTTTCTGTGGTCTTTGTGAATCTTAATGAATACATTAAACTCGGTACCAAATAATATTATGGCAATTATTTTGTTCCAGGTTCATCACTCAATCATCCTTTCAGATGAAATGCCAGCCTGCAGGTTGAGCAACAGATCCAGACTGCTTCAGGGATTGCGTGGCTTCAGTCTTTGTCACTTGACTCCAAAATGACACCATGTCCTGACCTATAAAATGAGGACAATAAAATCTATTCACCTTTGTAAACACTGGTTGAATAGCAGTATGTAAATTCAAAATTGCAATTAAACTGAGGCAGAGGGCCAAGTAATCACAAAGCCCTCCCTACTTGAATCAAGCTCATTAATAGTTCTGCTGCTGGAACCATTTTTCTAATGACTTGATAATGAGCTGACTACAGTCTGCAAAACCAGATTCTGGATAACTTTTTAAAGTATATAATTACATGGTGATATTGCCTTGAACTTGTGTGTGCACATGGAACAGAAAAAAAAACATACCTAAGCCAAACACTTAAAATCTGTTCTTGCTTATTCCCAATTTGTGTTGGTTGTAACTCTGCAGTCAGCTGTGCCATGAGGAGGAATGAGGGTATTCTGGCTTTTCTGCTGGTTCCCAGCACTGTGGTGGTACTTCAGTAGTACAGTGGATCTGCTACTTTCTGAACCATCAACCAAAAATGCTGTAGCTGTACAACCAACTCACATCTCTGACTTTCTTCTCTTGCATGCTAGGTTACCCAGGACTCTTAGCAGACAGACAGCTTCATTTTCTATGAGACGAGATGCATCTGCAGGTAAGGCATCACACTTATTTAAGCATGTCCCTCCATATGCAATGAAGGCATTATATACATTTGAGTGGGGTACGCTGCTGTTTCATTCCAACCTGTTTTTCGTAAGGTAACATCAGCCAGTAGCCTCAATACCAACAAATGTTGGACATTAATCTCTCTGTCTTCCTTCCTTCTCTCCTTCCTTCCAGCACACCATTAACTGAGGTAATGTACCCAGGGAACCCATTTTTAAGCCCAAAGTAGATTTATATTTCTAGTTCGCAAAACCACAATTCTTGCCTGATCCGTACTATACCACAGGCATGAATCTGCAATAGAGATGTGTTCACATCCACAGCATACAAGTTAGGAGGTAGCACCCCCTAAGGTCCATCTCTGGCCTTCACCCTTAGCAGCTCCACTTCATTACCTCTGGAAACACAATAAAATTAACCAAATAAATCAGCACGTGCAGTACCTCACATGCTTTCTCATTGTGTTCCTTGTTCAGGTCTCCTGTTGCACAAACAGTTCAGCTGGAGTTTGCTACCCAGTCACACACCTATAGACTGCACCAGACGGAAGAGCCTGATTCTCTCCCCTCAGCTTTGACTTTTCACAATGGCTGCCTACAGTGGGAGAAATGAAAGTGCAAGGCCTGGGGGTTCAGGAGACGCATGTCACGTTTTAAGTTCTGCACTGAAAGAGAAACATTCCTGTCAGGGCAGTTTCCTAGGTCTACATTGAGTTCAATACAGTGAAAGTCCAACCCAGTTCCCCACAACTATTGCAGCAGTGGAAGCAACCACAACCACCATAATGGAATGCAAGACGTATATATTTTGACCTTACTTCAATTATTTTCTGCATCTGTAATCACAGTGTATTCACAGACATAATCTAAAAACCTATAATCTAATACAGGAACCACTGTATTTTTTTCCATTTTAAAGTTGTCAAGAAGCTGCCTATATGCTATTTCCAGATAAAGTTAGTTATTTCTCATGGCTATTAAATGATACTAAAGAAGTGTTTACTGACCATACCAACAGCAGACCATCTTTGAGACTATTTGTGAAGGAAACGTTCAACGCAGGAAAAATGAAACGACAGCAAAAATAGTCACAGTGACCACATCTCTGCAATCAAAACCTTTTCCTCAGCTTCAATGTTGTTTAGTAAAGTAACAGGGACGCCCCTCATTTGGTTTCTGTTGTTTGCAGAGACGGCAGCCTGAAGTTATTTCAGTTATTACACCTGCCAGTGAGACTCCACCGCCAATGGCTGTGGTTTTTATGAGGAAGTTGGCTCTCTGTTTGCCCAGCAAAACACTTCACAACTCAAGTCCTCCTGAGCCTTTCAGAGTATGAAAGAGATTTTCATCTCTGTAATGCATTTCATTTTCAGTTACTAGGAAGCAAAACATTTTTTGATGCCTAATGCTGTAAAGTTGATGGGTGATTAACTCCATCACAGAGAAAATACTCAAGCAGCAACTTTTTCTGCTGCCACCAGAAACATGAAGCTATAGGACTTGCACTTGAAGCAGAGCACCGCACGCAGAGAAAGCACTGTGTATCCTGGGCCTTAGGGCAAGGGATGAAGAGCAGCTGTAGGAAAATCCCCCTATTTTGAAGCCCAAGAAGATGGTAACAGTGGTAGGCGTCCTCTGCTAGTATCAGGGATGTGAACACCTTACATGTTCAGAGTTGCTGACCTGTCCTCCCACTCCCAGGTGGAAATTAAAATCCCAGAGTAGGACTCCTCTGTGCCTGTGTAGTGTTTCCAAAGAACACAACCAAGTCAGCACACTAGGTGCCTCCCACGTCCCAAAAGATCCCAGGGAGTGCTCGCAGCATGACACCGCCTTTGGTTTTCCACTTAGCTTCTTGTGCATTCCAGCCTTCTCCTGTTCAGTGCCAAACTAAAGAATATGGCTCCTATTCCTTCAGCAGGTCAGGAACGTCATGGACCCAGTTATCAGCAATGCCCTCTGAGGCCCATACAGTGTCAGTCTGATGGGCCACACTGATGCTCCTGAAATTGTCCAGTGACCTCTGATGGATCTGCACGCTCTGAGGACAGATCTCCTTCACCTTTATCTCATGCCTGCATTACATCCCTCTGCACTAACCCAGAGGTAAACTGCAGAACCTGGGGCTGATAAAGAGCCTGGAAAAGGCCTCTTTAGACATGTCTGTGGAACCAGGTGCTGGTTTTGTATTTCCCACACAGGAGCCAAGTTCAGACAGGGACTAATGATTTTGGAGGAGTCCAGGAAAGATTATCCTCTATACACCCCTCTTTCTGGACAGGAGGGTAAAGCAGAAGGGTGGCAGTCAAGCACGAAGGTGGGTGAAGGAAGCAGAGGTGACATTTTGACTGTACAAGTTTTTTGATCTTGTGAAGCATTTCATGGGGTATTCTGTGCTGCTGAGAGGAGTTCCGTTTCTAAACTCCTATTCAAGGTACCTGGTACTTCCCTCTCTTCCCTGGCCATCCAACAGTTTTTAACAAACTTGAAAGTTCATCACCAAGGCTTTTTAGGGATGTGCAAGAAGAGGTCACAAAGAAGGGGTGACTGACAGAAAATGGGTTTTTCCCCACCTATCCTTGTTGGTGTAGGTACCTAGAAAGCCATGCCTGTAAACCATCGTGACTACAACTTCACTCCCTACAGGTTGCATGTGAGCAGCTCCACTCACCCAGATAATAGCTGGGATAAAGGGTGCAACATAAGCAAGTGCTTAACGTAAACCCAGATCTTTTGGATTAGCATAGCGGCTTCACACCACACCGATGGCACAGCACAGCATGGTGCTTCTCACAGCACACACAGGATGGGGTAGTCTTCCCTCTGTGCATGGTCAGGGAGCCCCAAGGGTACATCTATTCACCCCAACCTCATTTCCAAGGTGCTCCCCAGCCCGACTGAGCGCCACAAGCCAAACACACCCTGCAGCATCTTGGTCAGCAATGCCATCACTGCCATGCTTTTCCTCCCCTGCCACTACCTGGCACCTTCCCCCTCCTCGGTGTCAAAGCCCCGCTCAGCGCAGGGCCCCACATGGGCCGACGGGGATACGAGGCCCCGTGTGTCTGGGCCTGCCCCCTTCCCCGGCGGAGGACGGTGCCTGTCGGGGGCCAGAAAGGTCGGGCTTGGCCCGCGGCATCCCCCGGGCAGCCCGGCCCCTCCGAAGGAGGCCGGTACGAACGCGTGGCACCGGAGGAGGCGGCCGTAGGGGGGTTGAGAGCCCGAGGCCCGAGGGGAGGGGGCGGGAGCGGCGGCGCCTGCGTGCCCCCCGCAGCCGAGGGGGCCGCGCCGGGCGCTGGGGCGGGGTCTGCGGGCGCCGACGGGGCGGGCGCCACGTCGGCAGCGGGGAAAGGCGCAGGAGTGGAATCTCTGGCGGAGCTGAACGGAACCGAGTCTGCTGCGCGGTGAGTGGGAGCTGAGCGGCCGCCACCGCCGCCCTGGTCCCGCCGTTAGCCGGGTAGCTGCCACAGCCTTCTTCCTGCCTCCGCTTTGCTGCTCGGCGCGGAGGAAGGGAAACTACTGAGGCAGGAGACGGGAGCGGACTCGGCGGAGCCGCCGGAGGGACAGGCGGGCCTGGTGGAGCGGGGCCGCCGCCGCCGCCGCCTGCCCTCGGCGCTTTCCGGATCGCAGGCAGCCCGCCTTTGTGCTCTCTGCCGCAGCACCGGCGGGCGGGAAGGACGGAGAGAGGGCCGGGCCGGCTGCAGCGGCTCCGACCGCGGCCTTGGCTGCCACGTCAGTGCCGCCGCCCTGCGCTGAGGTGCCCGGCGGTGCCCGCGGTTGTGATCCGCTGCCCGCCGCCCCCCGAGCTCTCTCGGGGAGGCAGATAGCTGCGAGGGGGAGGAGGTGGCGGGGGTTTGGGCCGCGCTGCGAGCGGGTGTGGGGCCTCGACGGAACAGGGCGGGCGTCTCCTCTCGTGTGGGACCGGGACCTGGACCAGTCTCAGGGGCGGCTGCCGCGTCCTGACCTTGGCAGAGCTCCTACCTGGGTGGGCATCTGGGGGAGCCAGGCTCGCCTTGGCCTCCTCCCTGGCTGGTCTTGTGCTCCCCTGTCAACGTCTCTGGCAGGAGAAGCTTTGCTTCGAGTGGTCTTTGTAACCTTCGCTGTATACAGATGTTCTCTGTAGTAACCTGCTGTTCATTCCATCCAGTTCTATCAAGGCCAGCTTGATGGAGTAGGATGTGAAAAAGTTTTTTGGTAAGCTGTTTGGGAGCAGCTTATCTTTTGGCATTCACCTAGCCTAGGTGTTTATGTGGTGTGTCCTGAAAACTAATGCAAGTTACTTTAGCATAGAGTAGGTTCTAGTCATTGTGTGAGGCTCATAGGCAGCCTCTGCGGATGTGATAAAATGCTTCCTCCGCCTCATGTAACCAGGCTGAAAACGAGAGCTCTGAATCAGGATATCACTCCGTGAGGAAGACAAATATGAAGCGCATGTAGCCTGCCTCAGTGTTCAGGCAGTATGTAACTGGAAGGATGCATGAGAGATAGCTTAATTTAGTTCGCAAATAACTGCTTTGTATGCACATCAGTTATAAGCCTGCTGAGTAAATGCTACCCAGACTTTTTTTCTCTCAAAGCTTTCTGTTAAGCTGTGGTTAAACATTCAGTGAAGTTGGTGTTGCCTCCTCAGTACAAAAGGTGGTCCTTGTCTGGCAAGTCAACAGGTCTAAATATCAGGAGCCATCGAAGGGGATGCATGGGAGAGAGTTCATTAGCAAGGGTTAGGGTTAGGGTAAGGAAGTTCAGTGACTGCTCTAGGTGCTGTAAGGTTTTGTCTTTGTAGGCCTCATGGAGGAGGAATGCTGAGGCAAAGTGGACCTCAAGGCATTGGTGAAGCATTACAAGAAATGGAGAAGGCTCTGCCTTAGAAAGCTGAGCTAGCAGGAGGCACAGGATGACAGGACTGGTAAAATGGAGCTTCCATGGCCTTTCTGAAGCTGTACCCTGTGCCTTACTGGAATTTACCATCTAATTTCTAGAAACCAGGTTTGGAGGATTAGAAAAGGGGAATTAGAGTTTCTGTGTTTTCCTTGCTTTGGAGAAAACTTCATTGCCAACATCAGGTGTTCCCTGGAGCCCGATCTATATTTTAATTGGAGAAATGCACTGGATTCTCATATAGGTAGATATGATGCTGTAATGTCCTGTGCAAAGTTAAGGGTTAGGCTGATTTTTGTTTTGCGTGAGATACGCTTCCTTTTTTTGCCTTCAATTGTGTGTGCAGGGTGTATTTGTTTTTTAATACACCGCATGCACACAATTAATGTTGCATTACCTTCCCAGCTGTGTGCTGAGCCCTGCATACTGTGAGCCTGTTGTTTAAATCTTTTGTGGTAGGCTTGGCATGTTTTCTGGGGGGGCTGTAGCCCATCCTGCTATAGCTTTAAAAGTAATCAGTGTTCACACCTGGAAACTTCTGATCAACTTTTTGCATTCTTTCCCTGAACACCTTGTCTCTTTTTCCCCCTCTGTAATAGGTATGATCGCTTCCAAGCCAGTCTCACTTTGTATATAAATCTGATTTTTGAAGCTTGGCTTTTAAACAGAAGGCTTGTTGAAATGTCAGCTATGCTCTTGGTTTTTAGCTACACGCTTTCTGCGTGCCTGGATTTGCTTTTTCACTTTAGTGCTGTTAGCACTGACTCTTTCTACTTGCAGAAGCTCAGTCAACTGTCTCCTTTGCATTAACTAACTGGAAAGCACGTTTCCATGTCGGCTGTGCTCTGAGGGTTATGTCTGAGAGAATTAATAGCACTGAGCACTCCCACCCATGAATGTTACAAGCCCTAGTCCAAGGTGTAAAGCAGGGAAACTAATAGTCAGGAGTCACTTGTGCAGCTTGAAGGGGTACTCTGAAGAGCAGCCATGGGTGGGATTACCTTTTTGGCTCCATGCTTGTTTCTTTGTTTAATTTGGAGAGCAGAGCACTGCTACTCTTTCCAAAAGGACTTCCTTAAAGTATCACCCCTAAAATAATTATTTTAATGTATGTGAAAGGCCTGAGGTTCATTCTGAAATCTGCAGCTGCTGGAAGAAGGGAAGGAGAGTCATGCATGTGGCAAGGACTGTTTTGTCTTCCATCAGCTCCGTAGCCAAGCTTTCTAGCTTCATAGCTGGTGAGCAGAAGGAAGATAATTTTTTTAAGGTGGACTGAGAGGAGGGAATTGGTTTGTTTGCAGTTCTGTCAGGTGAATAGTTCCAGCACTGTCTGCTGCTGCAGCAGCCTTCTGGAGCAGCGTTATGTTGCCAACTGAAGTTGGCTGTATCCTTGGGTAGGTTCATTGCTACCCGCAAATGTCTGAGTAGTGGCATTGAAATGAGCCAGCTTTTACTGGCTGCTGCTTGGGCCAGGTTTGCTGTGCTGAAACAGTGGGGCTTTTTGTTTGTGAAGTCAGAAAGGCATCAAGAGCATCATCTGAAGCTCAGGAAGTTGCACACACATCTGTAATGGCTAGAGCTCACTTCTCAGTGGAAGGCTAAAAGTTTACACAAGTTGCTGTGTAAGAGCTGCAGACTCATTAAGGAGAGGCTGTGTTTTAACATTAATTATGACACTGTAGTAATCCGCATGACACCATGTAGAGCAAGTAAACACAAAAGGAATCAGTGTTTTGGTCAGCGAGATAAATCTCTTAAAATTCTGGTGTCTTAAGGCCATGCCAGGTGTGCTTCTCCCTAAGTGTGGGGCTCCATGTATGATTCCCACCATATGCCCATGGCAGGTATGTGGCAGTAGATGACCATAAGATGTCATTAACCTTCTGCTTTTCTCATAGGTGTATGCAGAATACTTGTGTGGAAACACCTAACTAGAAATCTTCACGAAGGAATATATTTGGTGAGAAAACTTTACTTTAATCAGCTTTGATGTGAATGTACATGTGGCTGAAGTGTTACTACCTCCAGAGCTTTCTTGGGCTTTCGGTCAGGGTCCTGAAACGACATTCATGTTATAAATAGCTCTCAAAAATCCTCTTTCAAACCAGTTCTTTCTTTACGATTGTATAAAAGTTGGAAGCTTCCTGTATATTTCACATTCTGACAGTATGAAAGTGTGTTTTCTTCTTTAAAACTAATCGAGTGACTTCCTTTATTTTTTATTAGTATTCTTTTAGTGTGATGATCGATACATATGTTAATGCATTGTTAAAGATGAGAAGTTATCCCTTAACTCTTGAAGGACTAGCACCCTCCTAAGTGCAGAGAGGGGGAAAAAGCAAAAAGTAGTTTACATGTGTCCCTATTTGAAATGTCTTGTAAGATCTGGGTTTGCTTCCAGTTCTTAACATAAGAAAACAACACATCTGCACAGATGAAGGAAACTGGAGAGTGCCACTGGTATGCTAAATGTCTGCTTCATGAATGTCTGAGTTCTGCCAGGACTCTTGGAGGTCTTGCCTCATTCCATGGGATCATTAAATGGAGGTGTTAAATGAACCCAGTGACAGAAGACACTGTGAATTTGGCATCACTGGATGAAAATGCTAAAGTTTATTTTGCATTAAGGGTTCAGGCTTCTGACAAATCTTTGCCTTGTTGCATGTGTTTGCATTGCTGGTAACAATTGTGAGTAGTTCAGTGCCTGGGGAACATTGAATCTGCAGCTTCCAACTTAAGTTTCCAAAGTTGCTAATCAGTACTGTGTCTGAATTACTCCAGATTCTCTGCACAATTATCTTTGCACCTCCACATTGCTGCCTTAGATGTCAGCTGAGTTGTAATCTCTGTTGGGTCTCATAAATTTTGCTTTCCTCTTCTTCGTGGGGACAGGCAGCAGGCAGTAGGCAGTGTGAAGAGAAACCTGCCTTAGGATACACTGCAATCTGGTGACCAGGGGACTCTCTTGCAAAGTGGAACATAAGAGCTTGAATCGTAACAGACAAAGGAGGCATCAAATCATAGGTGAGTGCTTTCACCTTAATGGTATTACGTAGGGAAGGGTTTCTGTTTTTCTAACTCCAGTTTTTGAAATAAAAAAATACGTTCCTGCCCTCTTCATCTGAAGACTGGAAGAAGTCATCTGCCATCAAGCAGTTATTCCAGGCCTTTGACCTCCAGTTAGCAGAAATACTCACCTTAAATATCTGGAGGGGAGCCAGGTTTAAAACATGCTCCTGTAGTATTTCCTGTCCACCAGATATGCTACACCTTGTCTAGCACACAGGATTTTGGATCCCTTTTCAGAGGCTCTTAAGTCTCCTGAGGTGTTAAATTAGATACAGGGATTCATGACACAGGCTGTAACCTAGATACCTGAAAATTTTCTGCTGAAGTGCCTTTTTTTGGAAACTCAAAGAAGCAATTTCATCTCAGTTTCTTTTGGGAGCTACCTGCTGGCTAGATACAAATGTATTAGTGGACGTAGTTCTTTGTAACGAATACTTTATCTCTGCCTTAACTCATCTGTGACTCCTATGAGTCTGCTTAAGAACCATTTTGGTTGCTTGCTTATTCCTTTGTTTGAAGTAAGGCTTGCTAGGCTGTGATATTTGTTTTACTTTTTTTAGGATCTTCCCATATGCAGCAAATAAACTCCTTCCAAATTCCTGATCAAGTAGTTCACATGTTAAGTAGAAGCGTAGCTGCTTCATATTTGTACAGATGTTTTGATCAATAATGTCAGGCCTGTCAGTTTCTTACAGCATCTGCCTTCTCTTTCTTACAGTGCCTGATATTTTTGTTTCAAGTTGGAAAAAAGCAACAACCTACATGTACCTTCACATAGTGAGGATGAAATCCTTGTATTTCTTCCAGCTTGCATTATGCAAAGGTGAATGCAAAGAGGTCACGTAGGACCTGAACAGGGTCCTTTCCCAGAGCCTGACTGCCCTCCATTGCTCCCTGGGATCAGTTGGGCCTTTTTTCTTTTCTTTTGACTTACTGATTTGTGATGAAATAAAAGAACAAGGAATTCTATAACTGATACTTTACTGATACTTGATACTCAAATTGCCTCTTAGCTCTCATGCATTTAGTCTTCCATGTTGATGGGTTGCCACTCACTTTGCTGTTTCTTAGCTTCCATATTTGCATTTGTGGCTTTTGAGAGGTACTTGTTCAGCATTGCCATCAAATCAGTCATCCTGCAGTAGGGTGGTTGCTTGCTTTCCTGTTCAGCTTCTTGTGTAAAGGTACCCGCATTTTCTGAGTCGTGAACCGATACCCTCAGTGCCAATTATGAGGACTCAGTTTAGGCTTGCTTTCATCCAAAGATCTATCATTTAGCATGTGGGTGCCATTTTGCACTGTGATGCTTTGATTTCATAATTGTACTATGAGGGTTTTAGGTGCTGTTTTCCAGGTGAGGCTTCCCACCCTCGTTCTGCTTCTGCCTCCTCATCCCTTCTTCAGATTCCAGCTACTGCTTTCTCATCCAGAAAATATGGAGAGATCTGGGCACAGCAAGAGAAGCTGGAATTATTTTTGAAGTGATCAGTGACTTCTGGAAGAAAATGAATGATTTAAAGGCTTGTTCAGGGATAACAGAACCAAGAGGTCACTGGCAGGAAGATAGAAGGGTGCTGAGTGGTATAATTCAACTTGGTTTTCTTTCTTCTTTTCCTGACCTCTGTGTCTGCTGAGGAGGGAAAGCAGGATTTGCAGGAGGGCTCAGGGGAGGAGGCAGGATGTAACACCAAGGCATGCTTTGGTAGGGGAGGAAAGCAGGAGGGAAGCCTGGACTAGATACTGCTTTCTTCCCCTCCACAGAGAAAAATGCAGTAAGCTGAGCTGCTGACTTGAGCTTTCTCCTGTGTTCCCCCTCAGTGTCAGGGACTGCTGCTCTAGAGCTGCTCTAAGGAAACAGCAGGTTTTCTTTTGCGTAAAGAAATACTGTTTCTGAAATGTTTTCATTGGGAAGTTTGTGTAGAGTTAAAATGGTCTAGTTCTGCTGCTGTCTCCACACTGTGTATGCAGTACTGCTACAACATAAATGGAGTGGTTTTGTTACAATTCTTATGTCTTGTTTTCATGGCACTTACTCAAGTTCAGCTGCAAGGACTTGTTTCTTTAAACTACTGCTTTCCAGGTACTAACAGATCTTACATGCATACTGCTGTTTTTCTAGTGCTACCACCTCTATGATCACTAGGCTTTTCTTTTTTAGTACTTAATTGGAGCTGGTTTATAGCAGCCTCTGTTTTGGTTTCATACTGGTTTTCTACCTGCTTTTTAGGTTTGAGATGTACTTGGTGGGGTGGCAGCTCTTGCCAAGCCTGCTAACCTGCTGGAGGGCTCCTTTCTTCAAGTACTGAGTCTGGCTGAAGAATGCAAAAGCACAATCTGATAACAAAGAGCAGCAGTTTGGCAGGAGCTGCTGTAGCTTATCTAGGAGTTCCTTTGCTGTGGAACTTAAACTACGTGAATTTTGGGTACACAGATTACATTTATGCTTTGCCAGAAAAGATGTATAGCATATGTGAATTTCTTTTTTAGGCAATAATGAATCAAACAGACAAAAACCAACAGGAAGTCCCATCATACCTTCATGATGAACCACCAGAAGGTATGTATTAGTTTTCATAATCTGATTTCTGTAAATTCACAGAAAATCATGTTTTCTCTTTTAAAAACAGATCTGCAAGCTGAATGCCTTAACTTTCAGTTAAGTAAAGTAAGCAAGCCAGCCCTGGGATGGGATGGGCCTAGGTTATTGTTCATTTCACATCCGCATTATCCTGATGGCAGTAAGACCACTGAATCTAACTTAGTAAAACAACTGTACTGATAAATTACAGAGAAGATGGGCTGATCCTGAAGGACATAATTTGCAGATTAGTTTCCAGAGATGTGAATTGGTCTGCTCTTCATTATGTGAGGTGAAAAGAGCCTGGTTTTGCTTTTGGACACCTTGCTGAGTTCATAGTTCCTTTTAAACAAGATGTGCTTAAAAATATACAGAACTTCATAACTACTTTTGAGACTCTTTTCCGTCATACAATTAACTATGGTTCTAACTATTGAAATAATCTCATGGTTCCAAAAAAACAAACCCACTCACTCTTGACTTCACTGGACAGGTGACATCTTTGTCTCCTGAATGAAATGAGTCTCAAATTGGATATTATATCTGCAGAGGAAATGCAGCTGTTAATGAGAAGAATTCCTTTCCAGGCTGTGGACCAGCAGGACTATGAAGAGCTCTGCTTGCATAATGTGTCTGGAAGTATACTAGATCAAAAGCCATTCTTGGCACACAGGTTGTCTCTGTTCTGTCTTCTCTTGCTGTAAGACCAAATGTGTTGGATGTGGAGGTCTGTGAATCCCATTTCCTTCTCAGCTCTTCAATATGTAATGGCCCTTTAAAGCTCTGTTTGTTGGTTTGAGGTTTTATTTTCCTCAGCTTTTATATATTGTATTACTGAAAATTTGCTTCAGTTAGTGCATAATAACTGTTCAAGTGTAGCAGAAGGGGTTGAAGCAAAGTAGCTCACTCTATTTGTAACTATTAGGCAGGAAACGCAAGTACAAGAAGATGACAGGAAAAGTGGCACAGTGGTTCTTAAGCTCTCCCATCCTTGAACTTGTTACAGTATCATGGTGTGAGGACAAAAGTCTTTCCTGCTTAAGCTCTTACAGGGTTGTCAAGATCCCAGAATCACTTCTGAAAGTAAATGCCATATTGGAAGACTATGCCCTAATGTGTGTTATCTTCAAGTCTGGCTTTTAAGGCACCTTTTTTATTTTCTTTTTGCTTTAAAGATTGAATTGTAGTTTATACGTGTTAAACCTCACGTATAGAAAGCGAACAGTGGTCTGACTGGTAAACTACAACTGATTCTTGGGGAAGGCAGTGAAATAAGTGGGCATTTTTTATCTTCCTAGAATATTCAGGTGGTTCAGAGCATGAGAGCAAAGTCTGAACATCACTAGATAACGCAAGATTTTGTTTAAAATTTGTGAGCAATTAAGACTGATTTTCTTCTGCACAGTATCTTCTTTCAGTATGTCAAGAACCAGTTTGAATATGAAGACTAAATAGATGAAGTTGGTGTAGTTAAAGGGAGCAGAATGAAACACAACTCATCTTAATAGAAACTCCATCTTTGAGAAGGCTTTTTCCTTTTGATTCTGTTTCACATGCACTCTTGAAGCTTTATGAATGTAGTTAAAATGTTGGAATACCCTTGAAGATCCCTATTTTAAATATACAAGGCCTTTGTATGCGATATGCTTACACTGTCATATGAAGATGGCCAAACATGCATGGGAGGCATTCATATTTGCAAGAAGATGGGCTCTTGGAACAGGCTGCCAAAAAAATCCTCAGAGGAAAGGCTCAATTTCAAAACCAATTTGCAATTTTTCATAAAGATATAATAGTTCCAGTTTGTCCAAATCCCACTCGAAGCTTGGTGTCCAAAAGCTTTAAAGCCATGCATAAGTAGAAGCAACTTTTGGGCTCATGCTTTCTATGAGCAGTCCTATTCTAATGCTTTATATTTGCAACCTAAATTCATGCAAACTCTTTTGCAGGAAGCTGGCTGCGAGGCAGCATGATCCAACCCCTGAACAAGGAACAGGTGTTGTTTTCTTCCTAAATTTAGGAATGATCTGGTTTACCTTCTTTTTCATACTGGTTAGAAACAAGGAGAGCAGGAGTGCATATCCTAGAATAGAAATCAACCAGCAGTGAAAACTTTGCAGCTGCAGGGTGTTTATTAGACCTCATGGACAGTGCAAACAGGAATGAAATGGGAATGTGTCAGCCACGGCCAGGAAGTTATTAATACACGAAGTCACAGTCAGTATTGATGCTTGTGAAATAGGGTAGATGTTGTCCACCTGAAGTAATATGAGAAGAAGCATTTCAGGATTACTTTTGTTTCTTTGTTGTTATTTTTCAAGTTAGCTCTGGTGGTCCTTTCTTGCTAATATCACCTCTGACTCACTGAAATCCGCTGTTAAAATTCAGTGTGATAAAGCTTTATTCACCCTGATGATAATGATCCAGTTAGGTGGAAGTACAGCGCTTTCTGCCTAAGTTTTTTACAAGGTGTGGAAGTCTGGTCACAAGAATCTTCAAATGAGTAATACCTGGACAGTGGATTTTATACCAGGCTCCATATACTCCTCTGAGTGTAATTCCTTGAAGACTGTCTTTATGTAAATAGAAATTCTGATGCGTTTGAGTTGGCAACGTGTTTTTGCCGGAGATGTTCAGGTTGAAAGCTGCTGGCCTAGAGTGAACCAGACAAGGGTATTACTTAGCTTTAGGTAAAAGATTGTCATTTATATTTGTAGCTTCCATGACCCTTTCTGTTATGTATATCAGTTTCTTTAATAAGAGACACTAGTGTAAGCTGGAAGCATTTTTAGTACTTTCTGCTCCCTTGAGCTGCACTGCCCCTCTGGATACTTTTGCTTAAACTTGTAAGAATTTCTCTCTTTGGCATCTTCTGTTTGAATTACTCAGGGCACTCATACAGGAACCACACTTTTAATAAATTCCAAGTCCTGGGTCAGTCCTGGCATCAAAACCTCGCTGGAGGTGCCTGAAAAGTTGTTTACTCTTGTAGGGAGAAAGTTGTTCATCTTGTAGTAGATGAGTGCTGGGAGGCGACTCTTGGAAATTGTTTTCCAAATGCAAGTTGTTGGCAGTCAGGGTACTGGAGACTGAGACCTGTTGCACTGGTTTTCTTAAGGCACATCACAGTGCGGAGTGAATGCGGTGACAGAGGTGGGATAGAGGTCTCTGGTGGATCTAGATCTTGATTTTTCCCATGCCCCTGTAGACTTACCCTCTCCCAAGCATGTTCTTTCTGCTGCTGACTCCCTCACCTCTCTCTTTCAAGTTTGTTTCTTCCCTACCAAACCCAGGGTAGTTCCACTTGCTCTTTTCTTGGTTCTCCCTGTTGTTTTTCCATGAGAAAGGGAAATATGTTAAATCCCATGTATTATCTACAGGTAGCTAGAAAATACAAAATACTGTGGAACTCTTTCCCTGCAGTTATTAACTGTCTGTCTCTTGCCGTGGTTCACTCTGAAACTTTTTTAAAAGAAGGGTTTGGGGTTGGTGAGGAATTGGCAAGACAGAAGCTGAAAAATACTGACCTGTCCAACACTGTTGTGGAGACCAGAGATTTCTCAAGGCTCACACTGAAAACACCTTGCAGAGAAATGTGGCAGGGTGACTAGTTTCTAGGTGCAGTAGATTGTATTTTCTTGTGTGCTTAAATACATTAACATACCGTTTCATCTTCCTATTTTGTCTTTGACAAGTAGATGATGCTTATGCAGTAGCGGGGTGTGGGGTTGCAATCTTAATTCCCTTTAGAGGCAAGGTACAGATGTCTCTTTAGCATTTCAAAGCCTACATTTAGAAACATGAAGTTAATTACCCAACTATTAGGCTAAATGCCTAATTCTGGGAGTCTTTCTTATTACTCTAATACTTTATATTATTTTGAGGCTTTGTAATTGTACCATAAAATATAGAATAGAAATTTATTTATACAACAAGAGACTGTGCAAAATGCAGGTTAAACATAACATTAAAAAGAACATATTTATGTGGTCAACAGCATGCAGAAATCCTATGGTTTGTGATTTGGTTTTGTGCATCATATTGGGACTTCTGTTGGGAGCCTTTAACTCCTCATAATGATAATGCCTTTGGGGACCACTTTTGGTATTTTGTAGAATCACAGAATGGTTTGGGTTGGAAAGGATCTTGAAGCTCATCCAGTTCCAACGCCCCTGCCATAGGCAGGGACACCTTCCACTAGACCAGATTGCTCAAAGCCCTGTCCACCCTGGCCTTGAACACTGCCAAGGATGGGGCAGATACATTACTATGTATTATTTATTATTACATCATTTTTATTATTATACATTATTATGTATTTATTATTGGAAAATAAACTCTGTTACATTTCCATAATTTCATTTCATGAGCTTATTTGGCCCTTGGACTCCTCCCTCCCTGCTCCAAATTACAGAAGAGGGCTTGCTGGAAGAAAATTAAATGTTTTAATCCTAGCTCTGTGATTGATTTCATTGTTGCTTCCTCCCTCAGGTTCAGTAAAAGACCACCCGCAGCAGCAGCCTGGCATGCTTTCTCGTGTGACTGGTGGCCTCTTCAGTGTCACAAAGGGAGCTGTTGGTGCCACGATCGGGGGTGTTGCTTGGATTGGAGGGAAGAGCTTGGAAATTACCAAAACAGCAGTTACATCTGTGCCTTCAGTGGGAGTGGGGCTAGTCAAAGGAAGTGTTTCTGCTGTAGCTGGAGGTGTTACAGCTGTAGGATCTGCTGTTGCAAGTAAAGTGCCTTTAACGGGAAAGAAAAAGGATAAGTCTGACTAAATCCAAAACTGAGACATATTTGATTATCCAGAATATTACAACAGTGGCATTAAAATCTGCTCAGATTTGGACCATGAGAAGCCATGTGTCTTAGACACTTTATCTTCTAAAGAGTTGTGCAAGTAACTCCATTCCATCTGAAAAGGACGGAAGAAGCTTGGCTAGCACGGCGTATGAAGATTCATTAGAGCCTAGATTGAAGCTTTGTATCTGGTGAAATGTTACACTTGATAACTGTAGAAGTAAGTGTATCTGAAGGGATAATACATATTTGAATATTCATTTACTGTAAGTCTTTTGCAGTTTTGGACTAAAATGTGAACACAAACTTGGTAGTCTCTGCTGTACCATCAATATGATGAGATACCATTCACTGTTCTCAGTGGTTTCCACATCCTCCTGCTAAGGATCCTTCAGCTGTGTAATGGCATTGTTGGATGTGCCTGAATAGTTTGGGTTATGAAACTGTATTTGCAGGCAGCCTGTAAACTCCCAGTGACTGTTCTGCCCATGCATGCTGGAGCAAATAGAACTGGTGTGGTGCAGAAACTGGAAGTCAGAGTGGAGGCAGAAGTGAGCAGGTTTGACAGCATGGTAGAAGGGATCATAAAGAGTAAACTAACAATGCCTTATTAGAGAAAAATATCTTTTTTTTACTAGGTGAAGCTGTCTGAAGAACTGTCCAGTCGTTTCAGTGCAGTTTACAGTATGAGTTTTAGACTCTCTTTATGAATCCTGGTAACTGAAAACTTTTCCATTTTTACTGAAACAAGATTGCTCCATCTCAGGTGTATTTGCTGGCAAGTAAAAACTTGCTTCTAATAAACTTCTAAACACTAGAAAAAATGATGGTTTAATGGAAAGTGGGCTGATGTTTGTGGTCATCTGGCACAACTGTCTGACTTGAAATGCCTTTGTGTAGTTGGAAACCACTGAAGAACTGGCAAAGCTGTTGTCTGAACTCCATGATGCACCAGGTTAAGTTTTTTGCTCTGTTAAAGCAAATGCAAGGATTTTTTCACTACATCTTTCTCTCATACTTTGCATTTTGATGTTTGAGTCAAATGTAATACTCAAAAGAAACCAAAAAAAAGTAGATGGGGCCTTAAAAGAAAATAAAGAGAAACATCATCCAAGTAACTTGTATACTGACAGATTCCAAATGGTGACACACCTCCAGTGGGAACATCTGTAGATCCTCTGCAGTGTGAGGGGAAAATGCACTTGTAACAACACAGCTTGAGATTGCCTTAAAACAGACGCTGTTGGTGATCTTTTTGTGTACTGACTTTGCATGTAAGTAACCTCTTCAGAAGCCCACAGAAGGTGGCTGCGAATGTTGTGTATGCAGTGTTTTCTACAAACTTGTGTTCCTGCACAGAACTTCTAAGCACATAAGCTTCCTTTTTCAGTGGCTGTGGTTGTACAAGAAGGCTCTATAGGGAGACTTAGATATGAAAAAATAATCAAAACCTATCACCTAAAGCTTAGTCCTTTTTTCACAGATGTTGAAAGTGTACTGTGTGTAAGTTATGGTACAGTAGTCACCTAGCCTTTCTGAGCCATTGGTACTTCAACTACACTCCAGAGCAACTTTATCTGGTATCAGTAATTGTATATGTTGGTAGTACAATATTTGTAAGCGTGGGGATTTGGGGTGGTGGGGAAAGCTTTATCGCCTCCTTTTGTTAGATGCACTAGCTGCTCAGCTCCAACCTGCTGCAAGGGTGTGGTAAGTTTATGCAACAAATGGAAGACTTTAACTGTTTTTAACAGTCGAAGCTAATCACACAGAATACAGTGCAGTTCAAGGATGCCTATTAACTCTAGAAATGAGCTAGCTTGGGTATCAGAAGCAATGTGGCTGCAGTAAATAACATGTGGTCTGCTGCTGTGCAGTTCCCAGTGTAGACATATCCCCAGAATGCTACCGCTGAACACTTGGAGTGACCCTTGTTTGGAGCAGTTGTGTTTGTGACACTCAACCAAACCCTTCCTAATAGTTTGCTGAAAACAAATGAACTCCTCATACCCCTTTTTTATGACATTCTCTAATTTTTATACTATGAAACTTACTGCAAAACAAGTACGGTCTGAGATAATGTGAGATCTGTAACAAGCTGCCGACACACTTCATGATGTTTTGTTCTTATCTTGTAGTTATTACCTCTGAATCTTGTAACTGAAACACTTCAACATTGCATATGGTTTTAGTTTTCAAAAAAAGCTTTGTCCTGTATCTTGCATATTTTCCATTCACTTCTGAAACTTGTTTTGTCTTAAAAACTTGTTCTGATTCTTTCCTGACACTTGTGAAACATTAAATTGTTGCTGTTTCAGACACCTGAAAGCTTCCTTAGTTTGTGTGTGGAGAAGGGCATACTTAGGTATAAATCTTCCACAGTATCATGGCCCAGTGTGTCTTTCAGCCGTATCTAAATAGTGCCAACCAGCTATTAACAAAAACGGTAACTTCACTGTGTAGGCTGTGCATAGACACAACACAAAATCCCTTTTTTTTTCCCTGGGCACTGAGGCATGAGGATACCCATGTTTAAGACTGTAATGAGTTGAATGGAACATGGAACTGGTATTTTCACATGTGAAAGTGAGCTGGTTATGTCTTGGGGTTGTTTTTGTGGTGGTTTTATTTTATCCTCCATTTCAAAAGGGGACATGTTCATGAAGACTACTTGTATACCTGACTGCTCACCGTGTAATGAAAGGCTGGGCTTTTCTGTGCCAGGCTTAAACAGTTCAGACTGTTTCACTTCACTGTGTGTAACAGCAAGAGATGAGGAAGCAGATTTCAGCAATACAGTGTTTTGGTAACGGGGAGCTTCCCTGAGTTTTTATTATAAATGAATCCTGGGAAGAAGACAGAAACAGGTGCCAGGCAAAGTGTTATGAAGGCCTGAATGAATTTCAGTCTGTGGGTAGAGAGGAGTCTTTCTGCTTATACTTTTGTTTTGAAAGGGGAGGAGGCGAAATTGAAACATTGAGAATGGAATGAGTTTGTGGTAACTCAGGCTATGACTTAATGATGGAAGTATGTCCTTCCTGTTTTATCTGTTGCCACTGGAAATAAAATACTTTAAATGATGGGAATAAGCTGTTTCAGAAACTTTAAAAACAGATACCTGCAGAAATGCTGAAACTAAATTTTCAGGGAAAACACTCTTCTACATCTTGGTTTTCTTTTCATCCTAATGCACCGACCGATTCTGCAGCTGAGCATTAGATTGTGTTATGAGTAGCTTCAGAGAGCTGAAATGCCCCCTTGTGTTTGAGGGGAAGGATGTTTTTGGATTCAAGTAATACTGTGGTCTGCTTAGCAGCTGAGCACTGAAGGACAGTCAGCAACAGAGGCAGGTTCCTGTGGATTTTTAATATGGTTATCTACCCAGTTAATTCTTAAAACCCAATAATGTGGTTTGAAGAGTCAGCAAAGATGTGGCTTAGTAACACAGCCTGACTTTCATTGTGCTGGTGATACATGCCCCTTCTTGAACTCTTGCTGCTATCATATGTGCTACAAGGGCAGTGTTTACCCCCAGAACTGCTGTCACGTCTGCACTTGCCTGCATGGTGGTGAATTTAAGACCTTCAGCTGTTGCAATCTTGGCACTGCTCTAACCAGATGTTTCTAGCCCTTTACCAAGCGCCTGGCAGATAATATGGCAGGCTATATAAAACAGTCACCTTGCAGCCCACCCTCTAAACAAGTAATTTAATACCAGCTTTCCTCAGCAATCTAAAACTTGTCTTTAAGAAATGGAACCCTGGACTTGGTGCCAAAATGTCTGTTAAAAATGTCTTTGAAGAATGGCCTGGAGTGAGGGGGGATGTGTAAATGTTTTTTCTCCTGCTGGCCCAAGGGAATGGGTATGGCATAGTCACTTAGGAAAGTCTTTCTGAGAAATAAGATCACTGATGATCCTAATTCTATTGAGATGATCGTCACTGATGATACTATTTTATTTTACCATCCACAGCCTGTAAATGAAAATAAACAGAATCTCTGGAGAACTTAACCTCTGTCAGATAGTTACTATTTTGAAAGGCAGCACTTGTCAACAATTACCCTGGGGTGTTATCTGAGAAGCAGTGCCACCCATATATTTAGAAACTATGGCAGCTGTTTGCAAATCTGGTAGTCATTTTTATAACACCAGTGGTTTACAGACTAGAGTTTTGTTACACCTGATGAAAAGCATGACTTCTTCCTTTGTCCTACAGTCATCTCAGACTCACTTGGATCCCTCGCTAACCTTTTCTCTCCCAGAGCCTTGCTAGTAAAGGAGAAATTAAGAACTAGATAATAGCAATAAATGTATTTCCTCCTGCCCCAAACCTTTTGCAAAAGGAGTAAATTTTGCAATCTCAGAAATATAAAGGAGGTTGTCTTGTAGTTTCTTTACTGCAGCAAGACACAACTGAACTCCAAGGGAGTTTCCAAGCATCAGTGAACCACTGGGTTGATGAACACTGCTGGAAAAATAATCCTCCATTTCTCTTTCTCAGATAAAGATTGTGCTAATCACTGCCACAAGCTGGACTGTGCAGTAACAGAGTTTAAATCCAAACCAGTTAATGCCCTGTTAGATAAGGAAATGTAACAGAACAAAAAAAGCCCCAAACATGTGAGGTACTCCCTGTGCTAAAAAAAAAAAGCAACCTTTATCATAACCAGGTTCTGTGATATTATCTGAAAGCATTAGAAAGCTACAATTTTATAATGAAGTTGTGCCTATGACCTGCTCCAGGACAAAGTACAGTGTAGGACTACAGTCTGGTTAAGATTACTTTTGTTTCAGCTCTTCTCAAAGAACCATCATCTTTTCCTCTTTGACAATTTTCCTTTGCATAATTCAAAGTACAGTATTCAAATTAATCTTCAACGTGTATAGGAGCAACAGGATTAAAAATAGGTCTCTCCTTCTTTGATTGTATCTTACCATAATTGACTTCAAAATCTTTCTTAGTACCATTCAAGCTTTCTAGAGTTCCACTCTTGATATCATATCCCAAAGCAGAGAGTTTTTTAATTCGGTACTGGACAATTTGCGTTGTCAACTCCAGCACCATTGGTGTCTCTTTAATCTGTGCCACAGAAATTCCTTCCTTGAGAAGTCCTTCAAGTCTTTCTTCCAAGACTGGAACAGAATAGTAGAGAAGGGCTGGGCACTTCAGCACGAGATCTTTTAATTCTTGATCGCTGCACTTAAAGACTCTTTTGGAAAAAATCATACTCTCCTGCATAGTAGAAGCAGTGAGTTGAAAAATGAAACCTTTAAGTTTGGACAGCAGCTGCAGAACTTCATGGTCAGTGAAATCATTCTTCTGGAGAAATTCCAAGTTCTCCCGGATTGCAGTGGAGTTATTTAATAAAATAAATGGATTCTGGCTCAATAGCTTCAGTATCCAGATCTTCATATTTGCATCAGAACCTCCTAAACTTAAATAATTTCTTTGTAATGTCTCTATAATGTCTTTGTTTTTCTCCACAGGATTATAGAAAATATTGGGTGCGCTTGTCAAGAACCTGGTGATTATGTTATTCTTAAGTCCCAACTCTTGAAAAAACAGTATATTTGCCTTCTGGTTCTCATGATACTCAGTAGTAAAAAAAGACTCTGGAAACTGCTCTATTAATTTAATTAATTGTTTTTCATTCTGGCATACTAATTGCCATAGAGCTCTTTGAGAGTTTATGTCTGCAGGGGTATGGAGAACTGCCTCTGGGCAGCGTTCTAAAATGTTGGCTACAGCGGCCTTGTCTGCTCCCATTTCCTGTAAAATACCGGCGATTTCTTGAACGTAGGCCACATCCTGGAGAAGGACCCATTCCTTTAGTCTGCGTATTTTCTTAACATCAACGGACAATCTGTAGAGACTCTCGATGGTTTTTTTATTCTCCTCTCTGGATTTTGTGTCAGTTGTGTAAGTGGAGCGGATTAGGAAGCTTCTGTTGGCTGCTTCAGTCCGTACTGATGAAAAATTCAATCCCGGGTTATGGTGCTGAGGTCTTGCCAACAAAAAAGTAAATGTACCTTTTGCACCGTGAGTGACTCCCCTCAGCATCGTGAAGTTGAGCCTAATGCAGAGAGAACTGTAAGAAAACATGTTTAAGGCACAAGTTAACACTCAGAGATGCTGACACTTAGACTGAGCTGGCATAAGAAATGACTCTCAACAGTGGGTTTTGTTATTAGCACAAAATTCAGGTTTCACGCAATAGCAGGGAGGTAAGAATCATTTCTGAAAGGTTAATGTTCTGAGGGATGCCTCACTGGAACAGTGACGTGCAGATATAACAGGCCTCATGTGGAGGCAACGCTCTGCCTGTATAGAAGCTTACAGTCATACAAGAACCGAACTGTCAGCTGTTTCCTGCAGCTAACATTGTTATTGTGTTACAGCTTGCTTATACAACACTAGAAACATGTTTCATGCAATTTAATCTGACAGTAATTCTACTAAATGAAAACAAGAAAAAAAGGTAGTTTAAATATCTTAGCCTTTCTGAATATATTTGCTTAACTTCTCGGCAATTGTTCAGAGCATGACTTATTCCTTTGTGTGTCAGAGATCCTCCAGTGCTCTTTCAGCAGCAGTTCATAGCCTAACTGCATTTTGAATTCATTCTTGTTATAATTAAGGGAAAAAAGAAAATCACTGAAACCTTTATGGATGTTTTTCACTTGCTAAGCCAGCACCAGAACTGGGTTCTGTAGAAGCACACTGGTATTCCAGGGGAGGAAGTAAGTATTGTGACATTTTCAGGCCTTCACCTGTTTCTTCCAGTACCTACTCTGCTCCAGCTATGCTTTGCACTAACACCTTATTTCTGCCTCCAGGTCCTTCTGCCATTCCCAGCCAGCCCCACCAGGGTGAGTGCTCACAGAGTAGGTGCATGGCTGTGCTGGGGTCCACACAGCAACCACAAGGTAGGTGTGGGTAACCCAGTGCTCGCTGTGGGTAACCAGGTGCGGTAATCAGCATGCTCACAGAGTAGGCGCATGGCTGTGCTGGAGTCCACACAGCAACCACAAGGTAGGTGTGGGTAACCCCGTACCCCACCTTTGCTCAAACTGACTGCCAAGTATCACCACCTGCTCTGCAGTGGCCAAAGGAGCAATAGCAGTCAAACAATGCTATCAACTGTAACTTCCTACATGGTGTTTTCATATAACCACCTTTTGGAAGCAGGAAGTGTGACAGACAGAACTGCTGGTCTGTGAAATGCTTACACGGATTGCTGCTGCTGGTAACATGCTTAAGACTGCTGAAACTGAAAGTGGGGAGGAAATTACAGTTTGTGTATTTGACTGTTCTATTTATAGGGTTACTTTCACCTCTCCTGAAGTGTAGCATGCTTCAAGAAGTACCTATGTGACCGTTAAGTTGGGGTTTTATTTTACCAGACTGTCACAAACATGCAGTCAAAATCTCCTTCATAACAGGCCAAGAAGCCGGTTGCAGGAACAGCTACACAAGACCCCTAGAATCTTCTTTATACCCCATCTTTAAGGAAATACATGGCTTGTTTATAGGACTTAAGTGATAAAGCCTCTGTCTAGTTGACAGGCAAGGTTAAATATTTTCCAGGTAAAACACTTTACCTCCAGAGAGAGCTTACCTTTTTTTTAAAGTTGATGTTTCTTGGCTTCTAAAAGCTGGGCTCTTATTATGTTATTACATCACAAACTAAGACAGAACAATGATCTCCTGTATGCAACTTACGTTATTAACAGAAGTGGCTTATCTGTAACTTGGTTTTTAATGTTATTTCAAACCTCTGAGGCAAAATCCGATTGCCTAACGCAACTGCTTTTGTCATGAGCCCAAGGCTAATGATTTTATCTGCATAAAATCTGTGATTGAGCAGTGCTGCCCAGCAAAGCTCCACCACAGAACAGGCAGTTTTTTGCAATAATACTGAGAGCATTCTAAGTGTAGGTAAGTCACAGCTTTTTTGTGTGCTGACCTTTCTATGTCATGAAAAAGTGACTGTTTTCATGGGGACTGCAAACTAAAGCCTCTCCTGCACCCGCAGTGACACAACTGCCTGTGTCCAAGTATTATGAAGTGTTCTATTGAATTTTGTGGCTCCAAGCAGAGTAAGTAAATCTCTGGAGGATCAGGGCTTTCTTCACTAATGCTTCAGCTCAGCTGTAATAAAGTATTGTTAAAATGTTTTGGGATGTCAGATGGTACTTCCAAAGTACAAACCAGAAAAATAACTAATCATGACTTTTGCTTCAGTGTGTAATCCTGCTGTTAAACAAAACTGTCTTGTGAGTAATACAGTCACTTAAAATACAGTCATTTTATCTATTACAGAACTTCTTAAAAAAATCCTGATGTAGTAAATTGTGCTCTTCCAAGATCTTACATGGAAACAATTGTTATGTTCAACTGACATCATCACAGTCAATTTTTAGTGCTGTTAGTGAGGATCACCCATGCACAAACACAGAATACTATGAAAGGAAAGGTATTTGCTAAGCCGCATTTGACTGGCATACTCAGGAGCCCTTCTAAAGCACAAAGCAAAATATAACATGCAAAATGAGATGAACAGATTTTAATGTCATGGTGTTCTACAGAAACTGAGATGATTAAGAGATGTGTTGTGGTGTATTTCAGAGTCCATAGATGACATTTCCAGGGTATGTAACCTATTCCAGAAATTGAGAGTTCTCTTGAAGCACAAGCTGAACTACTTCCCTAATATGCAGGACCCCACTTTTTACATACTTATATTGCTGTGGGGATTGTAAAACAATTGAGGGACTAAGGGAAAAGGACAACTTAGAAGTTTGCTCTTGCTGCCAGCAGCACCTTCTTATCACTACATGTCCTAACAGCAGTAAGGAGCGAAATAATGTCCACCTTCACAGGAAGTTACCCGCTTGCTAGCACACTTGCAGTGACCTGGATCTACAGAGCAATGGGGCATTGTAAGTTTCACTATTTACTGAGGCTTCTATGTGTATCTTCTATAGGAAATGGATACTAGGGTCAACTGGCTATTCATCCTTTATTTCATTCAGAGATTTTGAATTGAAGACTCAAATCTCACTTTCTGAAAATTAACAAACCAACCTCTTGCTTGTATTTTTCATAAATCTTTCACTAAAGAGAACACAAGTATGACGACTACTGTATGCTGGCCACCACCACTCTCATTACAGCAGGCTCTTGCTAGGTCTTAGTGGGCTGTAGAGAATTAAATGAAACTACTAAATGCCTAGATTGACTTAACCAGGAAAAACAGGCATCTACCTAGAAGACAGCAACATAGCTAGGATCTGAACAGCTTGCAAAGAAGTGTGGAGCAGTAACAGGTAGCACTTTGTAGATTAACACATAGCAGAGTAAGCATTTGCACTTCAGCACTTATAGCCAAAAAAAAGGAACCCCTACTTTGTATCAGTAGTGGAGATGAGGTAAAAAAGGATTACAAAAGTATGCTAGACCGACAAAGCTTTCTAGAACAAGAGAGGAACCTTTAATAATCCAAACTGAAAGAGACCTCAAAACCTCACAGCAGGCTCTGCTATAAGGTAAGACTAGGCTGCTTTGTCCAGTCAGGTCTTGAAACCCTCCATAGGCTGCCTTTCTACAGGAAAAACAAAGTGCTCCCTCACGGCCTGGTCGAGGCTGGGCCGATGTGGACGATGCCTGCCTGCACAGCCCCTCTCTTCCTTTTGGACCCCGTTTCGGGGCGGAGGGGCAGGAGGCGGGCATTGTCCTGCAGCCAGCCCTGGAGCGGAGGGCGGAAGGCCCCTTCCCACAGGGGCCTAGCTCCTCGCTACCACAGCTGGTTTCTGCCGTCACTGCTACCTCACCCGGCCGCAGCGTCACCCGCGACCTGCGACAACGACTGGCGCGCAAGGGCTCCCTCCCCAACCTCGCACCGTTCAAATCACACGCAACCCCTCCTTCCGCATCTCGCACCGCTTATCTTCCGGCCGACACTGCTGTGACACTGTCGTCAAAGCACAGGAGGCCGAGCAGCACGTCAGCTGCGGAGAGCCGCGCCAAGGCTCCCCTCACCGGCCACCGCCGCGGCACTCGCCGCCCCGCGCCCCCGACCGGTGGGACCAGGCCAGAACCGGCTGGGACCTGCCCCGCGCTCCCGGGCGCGCCGCGCCGCGCTGCGCTGGGCCCTACCATCGGTGCCGCTCGGGCGTGGGGTAGGGGAGAACACGACAGGGGGATGTACCATGTGGCGGCGGGGAGGGGCGTGCGGCGGTGAAGTGCAGTTGTTAAGTCTGAGTCTGAGGTAAACGAGGCGTTTGCTGGCTTGCGGATGCGAGTGGAGTGTGCTGCAGGTCCTGCTCTGCTGCAGGACACTTAATCAAGCGTGGTGAACGGGCTTGCACGGTCTTTCCGTGGTGCAGAAGTCACCTGAGGTTCTTCTGCTTGTTAAAACGGACTTTGTTAGAGTCACAGAATGGGTTGGGTTGGAAGGGACCCTTAAAGCTCATCCAGTTCCAACCCCCTGCCATGGGCAGGACATCTTCCGCTAGACAGGTTGCTCCAAGCCCCATCCAACCTGGCCTTGAACACTGCCAGGGATGGGGCAGCCACAGCTTCTCTGGGCAACCTCACCACCCTCACAATAAAGAATTTCTTCCTAATGACTAATGTATATCTACCCTCTTTCAGTTTAAAGCCATTCCACCTTGTCCTGTTATTACTTGCCCTTGTAAAAAGTCCCTCTCCAGAGTTTCTGTAGGCCCTTTTTAAGTACTGGAAGGTTAGGGTAAGAAATAGCTAAAGGCGGTTGGATTTAAACAGCTTTCAAGAGAGAATTAGTGCATTACATTTAAAAATAGGATAAAAAAGCATCAAAATAATTTGCAAATCAATAATTCTGATGTATCATCACACCACAAAAAATAACTTTTTAAAATCAGGCAACTTGAGTGCCTGTGATCTCTTGGGAAGCAAATGATCCTATTGATTACATAGCAGAAATGGTCCATTTCTTGTGTTTGTCCAGAACTACAGCTGAAATAATGGTGCTGGTGAGGTCTTCTGCCCCATCCAGCACGACAGCTGCTGCACACACTACCCAGGAACCAAAACCCTGCCGCTCCTGATACCAAATGTGTCAACTTCTGCAAGATGGCTTCTACTCTTCTTGGAAGCAGTACCCAGAAAAATCCTTTCAGGATCAAATTGGGATGAGAGGCAACACCAGTGTGACAATGGGAGGCTTGTTGTACATCAGTATCTCTTCTTTGATGTGGTCACTCCACTTCGTACAGAATAAAAGTACAATTCACGTATGTAGTCACTGGATTTATAGTGTTTTGCTGGAGGTGTTTCAGACATTAAATGAGTTGTGCTGGTGAGAGTCATCTTCCTCCACCTCATTTTTTTCAGCTGTATCTACTTTTATTTCTCTTCTAATCTCAGCATAACCAATCAGCAGAGACGTGAAAAATTTCTAGCCTAGATTTTTCTAGGTGTATTAAGATTTTTTAAACCAACTGGGTCTGCACAGTCACACCCTTCAGAGAGTGAAAGTCAGTACTGTTATCACTGGGAACACTTCTTTTGCCAGCTACATTTCCAATAGTCTCAGTTAGATCTATGAAAATGATCTAATAAATAAGAGAACTGCTAATGAAATAAACCGTGCCCTATGATCCTAGTGTTCTTCATCTCAGATGTAACTGTTGCTTCAAGAACAGTCAACAGTGTGTGTGAATATAAATGACATACATACAATGATGTTAAAAACATGTATCTAAAAAGCACCTCTGATTTATAATGCCCAATGTATTGCATACATGTGTCCTTATGTTTTTGTCATTTCACTGCCTTCACGTTCGTTAGCTTTTTTCTCTTCTAACTCCTCCCCACTCTCTTGATTTTTGCAGTCATGGTG